CAATTCTTCCTGAGAATATCGAAAAAGAGCTGCTGGAATGTATATTGTTGATGGAGGTCATATTTTTCTATTATAAAAGCATTTTTGTGATAAAATATATTGGTGTAAATAATTTTGTAATTATTTAACATTTTTTATACTTTCCTATTTGTTTTTGGCTACATTAAAGCATTTTTTGAAAATATACAGTAAGGTTCCATATGACCATCTGATTTTCTCTAAGCCTACTTTCTGACTTTTTGTACAAAAGCCTTCAAAAACCATACTTATAGTTACACTAGCGAAAAATCCAATTAGGAACATTTAGTTTACTAGTTACCAGTACTTTTCGCACAAAAAATGTGTGTGTAGTTATGATACCTTGTTTACAATTCACTAAAATGTAATTGGGGTTCCATAATACCATTTTCTCCTCTAATATTTAAAATTAAAAATGTATTATTTGACACTAATTTTTGACATAATAATAGAAAAATATTATTATGAAAAATTTAATATAAATTTCTGTTACATAGTAACAGTAGCAACTGTAATTGCTATTATTTGGAATCAGTTTGGAATTAAGAAGTATTGATAATTTTACTAAATTTTTAAATAGTGTTCACAATGCCGTAAATAATCTGGCTATAATTTGGAAATATTAATTATGAATTACAAATAAATTTGGCACTAGAGGAAGGTGTTAGGCTCCATGTCGTATTAAATTTAATAATTATAATATTTAATTAATTAATTTAGAATAAATAAATTTATTTATTTTAAATTAATTAATTGGGCTGATTATTTTCACCAGTTTATTCTAAATTAATTAATTAAATATTATACAGTAGCGCATCGATTATCCAACTCAATTGGAGACTGGGGTTGGTCGGATTACTGAAAAAATGGATAACCGAAAAGTATGGAAAAATACATTATTAGTGTAGTATATTAGTATATCCCATATAATTAGGATATTAGTATATCACAATTAACCTACTTTGCATTGAATTTTCATCGATGTTAAGCCTAACAAAAATTTTTTTAAAAATAATAATTGTCACTATTGTATCGTTAAAAATTATTTTAAAATTATTTTATTGCTCACAAAACAAACAACCACTCAGAATTAGAAAATTAAGCCTCGTTTAAATACTGGCCTTCCTTTCATGGTCGCGCTAGTGTTGCCAGCTAAAACACGCAAAAATTTAACAAAAATAATATTAAAGTAGCCAAGACATAGCCAAGTATTGTAGCGCCACATCACTAGCAGACATTTGAATTTGCTGACTAGAACGCGGTTGGTTAACTGATGTGACGATTGATCGGGGTCAGATAATTATTATCTGACCCCGATTATCATATTAAATTCAATAATTACAGTAGAGCATTAATTATTAATGCTCTACTGTAATTATTGAATTTAATATGAGATGGTGCCTAATGCCTCCCTCTAGTGCCAAATTTATTTGTAATTCATAATTAATATTTCCAAATTATAGTCCAATTATTTATGGCAGTTGTGGGTGTCTATTTGCTAAGCATCAAGTTTCAGTAGATGTTTATAGCTGTATAAATTTTTAAAATTAAGATCAATGGTAAAATACTGATATTTCTGTTTTGATGTAAACATTTTTTTTAATTAACCAGAAAACAAAACAAAAATACCTAACTACAACTCAAAAATATAACAAATGATCTAACTGCAAACCTAATGACAAAAAGAAAAAAAACCTCATTAAAACATTTTATAGGAAATTTAAAAATTTTCATATGTTCACTGATATTTCAGATTCAAAAAATGACATTGCTTAGTCCACAGTTGTAAAATATGCATTTTTTTTAATAATTAATTTATATCTGATATATGTAAAATTTACTTATCAATATATAAAAAAAATTACTAATTTCACACTGATATCTTTAAATGAAGTAAATTTTTAATTATACTTTAACAAAAACACAAAAGTATAATTAAAAAAATACAGCATTTAAAGGTGTCAGATGTAATTAGTAGTAGAAAATATAATAATAATTATTATATACAAAAATTTAATAAAAAAAGTTAATTACTTAATTAATATTTATTTAAAGATTTGGAAAAACTTTAATTAAAATATTATTCTTACTATATATTTATAATAATAACTAATTAAAAATTTTAATATTTCCTATTGATGTTCTTTCAGTCTGACCACTAATTTTCGAGCAGTTGTTTTAATGTAATATTATTGACAGAAATAGATAACAAGGGATAAGAAACTGTAAATTTTAGATATTTCAAAAAATGAGACAAGATTGTTATTATTACAGATAAGTTGACCTAAATTTGATTGTGAATTTTATACTATAAATTTATCTTAAAGTATTAAATATTCTATCAATATACATTATTAACTTAATAAAAATTTTGTCTATAAACAGGAAATGAAATGAAAGATGATTTTTTTTAAGTATTTAAAGTAAAAGGATGAATTTAAAAAAAGCACACACAATTTTTCATTTTAAGATTATGTTATTCTTCATCCAATAAATAAGCATAACAATTTAAGTTTATAACTTTTTAATTATTCTTATATGGAAATCTATAAGCTACAAAAATACTTAAGTACTAATAAGTTTTTAGCATATTTTATGTTGTTCTCAAGTCTTTATGGAGGAGATAGAACAGAATAACAAAAGTATTATTATATTTCATTTTTATAATTTTAATTGATTTGATGATATAATCAAATAACTTTTTTCTTTTTATGAAGGTTCAGGAATGGCATAAAGTATGCCAGAAACATTAGCACTTAAGTATATTCGTAATTTATAGACTATTGTATATGAATAATTAAAAAGTTATAAGCTTTAAAAAATCCTTTTGACTCTTTAAAATGCAATTAAGGAATCAAAAGATTACTTCATTAAGAGAAATAATAGCATTGTTTTTGTAAAAATGAGGCTGAAATGCATATTAAGAAACTTGATTAGGATTATGTTGAATTTATGAAAAATATGAAATTATACATTTACAGTGGAATGAGAAACAACTAAGACCAAAAATAAAGTTTTTGTCCATAAATTTTCTGTTTAACAGATATTTTTTTTTCATTTTTTCTCTGTGAGTTTGAAAAACTCTGGTATTTACATAATGGCTTTATTCCATCTTTTTTTTTACCAGTAATATATTTTATGGGTAGAACAAATGACAGTCTACTTGAAAGCATGAAACTAATAATAATAATAATTTACATTGAACAGAACTAAATTCAAATTTGAGAATAAAAATGGAAGTTTGCTTTTTAAGGAGCAAACTCTATTTTTTGACTTCTACAACAGATTAGTTCCATGAGTGGGTTTTCCATAGTTCTATTTAAAAAGGTTTTTAAAGATTGGTGTTGCCTTCTCTCCAGCCAGCGAAAATCTGTTTAGTGGCAATATATTAAATTAAAGAAAAATTGGTGGTTAGTACACAAGAACTGCAAGGAATAGTTTTAAGCTATTCAATAATGTACAGTATAAAAATGATAATCTTACAAAAATTCCTGAAAAATAATAATTATTATTATTATTATTTTTTTTTTCAAAATATGAAAGAACTTAAATGTGATATTCGTGATGTCTTATCTTTATTTGACATTTGGCATACCCATTTGAAAGTAATTCAAGGTCATTTTGGTACAGGAGTAGCATCATATTTTTATTTTCTACGGTGGTTGTTTCTTTTAAACTTGGCATTTTTTCTATTTCCATTATGTTTTATAATTGTTCCTCAAGCTATCCATCCAGTACAAAATTCATTTAATCAGTCTAATTATACTTATGATAAGGTAAGCTTTTTTTTTCTTAAATTAAACTTTAAATATTTTGAAGATATATTTATATAATGTTTTTGTTCAATATTAACCAGTTATAAAATTATATATATATAATTTTATAACTGGTTAATATTGAACAAAAACATTATATAAATATATCTTCAAAATATTTAAAGTTTAATTTAAGAAAAAAAAAGCTTACCTTATCATAAGTATAATTAGACTGATTAAATGAATTTTGTACTGGATGGATAGCTTGAGGAACAATTATAAAACATAATGGAAATAGAAAAAATGCCAAGTTTAAAAGAAACAACCACCGTAGAAAATAAAAATATGATGCTACTCCTGTACCAAAATGACCTTGAATTACTTTCAAATGGGTATGCCAAATGTCAAATAAAGATAAGACATCACGAATATCACATTTAAGTTCTTTCATATTCTGAAAAAAAAAAAAA